AGCACACTCTCTGGTACCTAATAGGTACTCCACAAACATTTCGTAAATCACTGAACATTCAGACACGACCCTAAACCCTAACTCAGCAGCAATTGGTGCAACTGAGCCGACACCAATGGGATGGGATTGTCAGGTTTTGATAAGGGGAGGGACTGCTGTGGGGAGTTGGAGACGGTGATGACAAGGGAGTTTGGTGGGAAGCAGCCAAGGGGCTGTTGGTGGCCGCTGCAGCATGCCAGGTAATAATCAGAGAGCCACTAGGAGGCAGCCCCCCGGGTGTGTCTAGCGGAGGCTCACCCCACTGAGGACGCACACGCCAAGGACTCACTCACTTCTCTCCAGCCGCTCAAGTCTTCAAACTTTCTTTCCAGTTTTTACAAAGCTGATGTTTCTAGACTTGCTTGCCAGTGAAGCTTAGAGATTTCCACGTGTTTTCCTCACCCTTTCATTTTCCTGAGTTGTGTTTTTCTCTGTAGATTTATTCCTTTTTTTCTTTTGCTTGAAGGAACAGCAACTTTGAGGCAAAGTAGAACAGAGGATGAAGTATACCCTCTGAATCTATGACTGGCTCACGGTGGGCCTAGTTTTGGAGCCAGGTTTGGATGCCCTCCTGGTATCTCTGTTAGTCTTTGGGGGATTTTCTCTCTCTTTCATTGGGCTGCTTCCTAATCTTATTTCGTAAACAGCAATATAAAATTTCCACTTAAAAAGAAAAACAAAGAAATAAAAAACTTCTTCCAGGTTTTCTGATAAAGATAGGTGTGTGTGTGTGTGTGTGTGTGTGTGTGGTGGGGGGTGCAGAATTGGCCTTACACCTTTGAAAATAATATGTTGATTTATGATGATTAAAAGGGAGAAGTAGAATGGAAACAGGAAAAAATAACACTGGTTTGCCTACGAGAGACTCAGATTAGAGGTAAGGATTCATTTTAAGAATGATGAGGGAGGTGTGAGTATTGATCTGGGTAGGAGCTACTGACTGTGAGCAGGACATCCAAGGAGGCTAACCAGGGATACAGCTCAATGGGCGATACTTGGAAAACTAAGACCCCATTACAAAGCTGGGGGACTGCATCAGAATGCACTTGAACCCCGGCATGCACACATTTAAATCTCCCAACCCAGTTCCTCCCTTTTGGTCAAAGTGCACCCAAGTCATCCCCAGTGGAGAGTTCACATTGCATGGTCCAGAGTCTTGGAAGGTCCTCACTTATCTAAAGGTCTCCTCTGTTTGGGGAGCTCAGGGGCTGGCTAAGAAGGCTTAACATTTTTCTACTAAAAATGACACACACCCACTTTCTCCCCTTCCATGGCATGTGCAAATCTAGTTAGCTGAATGTAGCTTAGAGACAGTCCTACACTGCCACGATGGGTACAGGCACACGCTTAGTCATACAAAATAGCACCGTTAGCAAGTGTGTGTGCTAGCACATGCCATTAATTCATCAAGTGAATTCCTGTTTGTTCTAAGTCTCCACTGAGACCCCAACAATATGTGATTCCGTGAAACATTCTGCCACAAACTTGGTTCTGTCCCTTGTCTGTCCTCCCTTTGCTTGGCCAACCCCAGTTTAGGATCTCCTGACAGAGGGCCAGCACTCACATTGCAAAGTTTTCATTTTTGACCTGATATCTTTGATTTGCTCTGCTACTGTTCCTCTTTGTCTGATCTTTTCATCATCCCTTTATTCTTGTCTCTTCTCCTTCATATCTTAGTACCAGGCTCCTCGCCCACACACATCTGATCTACCCATCCTCACTGTCGGTTTCCAGGTTGGCCTCAGCCAGAATGTGATGGTACTATACTTCTTTACAACATACTTTTCATTGTAACATAAAATGTTACAGCAATTCAATGATATATATTCTTCTTTATTTAAGAATACTTGTGACACTGTAATTTTTTTTTCACATGGGTAGGTCTGCCCTCCGTGATGTCTCCTTATCATCTTGCTGGTGAGTAGAGACGCCTGTCATTGAGATTTTCCCCACGCCTAAAGACTACCAGAATCAGGGCTTTTACATATGGGAATAGTAATAAAACCCTTCTGTGTGGCAGCCTGGGCTTTGAATAGGGACAGGAGGTGTATCAGGCTACAAGCCTTGTATGATCTCCTTGAAAATATAGAAGAAAGATGAGTTAAATAGGGTTTTCAGCATCACAGATTCTGTGTGTCTCTGTAATGCCCTGGCCAGTTAGCTCTGCCTATCCCTTGTGCTATGTCATCCCCAATGGATTATTCTGATTTCCCCTGAAAGTGAGAAAAAACAACTTTCTCTATTACTGGCATTAAAGGGTCGGGAAGCATCTTTATTTCTCTATTTCTGGCAATAAAGGGTCAGAAAAACTGCTTTCCTCTTTGGTCCTAAGCAAAGGAATGGGAAGATTATTAATTTTAATATGAAATTATTTAACCATATAAAATAATTTTATATGATCCAGCAATTCCACTCTTGGGTATATACCTAAAATAATTGAAAGTAGGGACTCAAAGAAATATTTTTACACCATTGTTCATAGCAGCATTATTCGCAATGGCCAAAAGGTAGAAATGACCCACATGTCTATTGACAGATGAATGAATAAACAAAATGTGATATGTGAATTCAATGGAATTATTTTTCAGCTTTGAAAAGGAAGGAAACTCAGACACTTGCTAAAATAAGGATGAATCTTGAGGACGTTATGCTAAGTGAAATAAGCCAGTCACAAAAGGAAAAATCCTGCATAAGCCCACTTATACGAGGAACCTAGAACAGTCACATTCACAGTGATAGGAAGTAGAATGGCTGTCGGGGAGGGAGGGAGGCAGGGAGGACGAGTTATTGTTTAATGGATACAGCCTTTCAGTTTTGCAAGAGGAGAAGAGCTCTGTACATGGATGGTGGTAATGGTAGGACAACAATATGAATATGTTTAATGACATCTAACCGTACACTGAAAAATGGTTAAGATGATAAATTTCACATCATGTGTATTTTACACCTATTAAAATTTTTTTAGACGTCACCTCTAACATGTGAAACCAATTATAGGTTACCTACTATGTGCCAGATGTTGAACTAGGCACTTTACATACATTTATTACTGATAAATATTATTATTCTCATTTTACAAGTGAAGAAGCAGAAGTTCACAGGAGTTAAAATAATTTCATGAGATCATGCAATAAAGCAGCAGAAATGAAATCTGAATGCAGGCCCGTGTAGTCTTCACTACGCCACACGTACTTGTGCACACAGACACACACGCAACCCCGCACACACATAGGATTCTGTATTTTCATCTCAGTGTATAATGTGTATTATCCTTCAGCTTAATTAATTGTGTTAATTACTATAAATACAAATGTTGAGGCTAACCACTTAATGAATATGGCAGAGTTAAGCCACGTAATCACCGTATGGTGTGTGCCATGGACCATTTCTCATTGCTGAAGGCATCTGAGAGGCAGAAGTACTGGGCAAACACAGCTTTACTGGTTGCTGAGGTAGCAGGGAATGAGACTGATTGTTTAGGCTTCAGGCTTTGCAATTACAAGCTGGCATTTCAGTAACGACAATTTAAAATTTAAGTTCCAAAAAGGCTTAAGACCAGGTCCATCCTCTGACCTTTTTTTCTCCCACAGTTTTGAGATTACTTTTAACATGTATTTGGTGGTGCTGCTAGAAGATTTTTCTAAGCATTTTGATTTTTTGTGTCCAAATCTGATTGAACTTGTTATGTGTTCATTGTGTAACAAGAACAGTCTGTCTGGTGTAGGCAGGAATTGGGTCCCCAGTACACAAAACAGCCTTGGCCCTGCTGGAGCATGTATTTGTAGCAGGCACAGAGGCAGGGTAATTGGCTACCTCCTGGTTGTAAGTGCAGGTATGTTAACTGCAGGCTTGAGAGGAACCTCCATTTTGGGTTGCAGTTTATTATTAGGTGAGGAAATTACTGGACACCTCCAGCTGCCATTAATCAGACACAGAGTCAGACTGGAGCCAAATGAGAAGCCTGTGGGTGGATTCTGCCCGGTGCTGTGGAAATACAAGAAGACAGAGACAAATGTTTTCCAGCCTAGCAGCACTAAACTCTGCCCTTTCACAGTCCTTAACATGCTTGTTCAAATTGATTTAGTTCATTTCCCCCCTCAACCTCACCATCCATTTTCCTTGAAGACGGACAGTTTTATGTGTTGCTACCATGTTATTATGTGTTGCTACTCTGCCGGTAGCTATAGTGTTTCAGCAACATTTACTTCCAGACGAAAAGGATAAGTGAGGAGGGGAGTGGAGAGAGAGGGAGGTGAGGTTGCGTCATTTTAATTCCTTTTTTATGGGGTGCAGAACATGCCCATCATGGCACTGACATTCTCTCTCCTCTCCCCACCCCCTCTTTTCTTTATTCCTTTTCTCTGTCAATGATTTCCATGAAAAAGCCCTGAATAACATTTCCCACTTGAGAAACACATCTGTCAGGTGATGTCAACGCCTGGCTTCCTCTTCTTCCTGTTGGGTTCAAAACGTGGCCTTCTCTCATGGTCCTGGAATGCTGACATGGTCGAGTGGCCAGAGCCAAACACAGGTAGGGTCAAGCTGAAAAAATCGACGGGGGCCTTCTGTCCTCAGCTTAGCTTTGGAGGGAATGGGAAGAATCTAGGAAGCGATTTATTGTCTCTGCTGCTGTGTAAATTCAGAAGAGGGGGATGGCGGAGAGGAAAAAAAAAAAACGAGACTGCAAACAGCCCTCTGTCAGCTGCAGAGACGTCAGTCAAGACATTCCAAGTGCTGGTCCAGTTGGAGACACTTGCCTCAGGATAAGCAGGAATTCAGATCTGACCCTCACCCTCAACGTTTTTGGAAGTGGATGAAAGTGTCTTATCTGAGCATGTAAGAATATTTCTGGCACTGAAGGCCACAGACGAAAATTCAGAGTTAAAATAAATACTCGGAGAAGGAGAGGAAACAGTGAGGTTAAAGGTCTGATCAGATACGCGCCTCTGAGCTCTCTGACTTCACCACACGCTCGCTTTATTCCATCCGGTTTCCGTGTACTAACGTTCGCCGCAGCAAACAGAAAGACTCTCTTCACTCTTCCTGCTTTTGTGTGGACGGGGAGAAGACGACAAGTCCGGTGATTTAGGTGGACAAATACAAATAAAATAAGCAAAATAAAGTTAGATAAGCCAGTTTGAAGTGTGTAACCAGATATGAGTATTTTCCACTCTTTCCCGTGCACCAGTATTTAGTTATGTATAGTGCCTGGGTCTGTGGACCAGTCATGATTATTACTCAGTAACAGAAAAGGTTTAAAATCATATCCTTAGAATGAATTTGCCATTTTATGAAGAAATAGAATCTGGGGAAGGACACTTAGTGAGATAGCCATATGCTTACACACACACGCACACTTTTTGTTGTTAAAGAAGAAAATGGTATTACTCCAGCACAGATTAAGCTTAAGGATCGGGGTCTCAGTCATCTCATGACTTTCCAGGTGAGTCCTCTCTGGGCAACTGGAGGTCACAGGGAGGACACTCTGAGTGGGTGCTGAGATAGTGTGTGTGGTAATCCTTATGCCATCAGCATGTAGATGACAGTCCCTTGTTTCCCTGCCGTTCTCAGGGTTTGCATGGTTGACTGTTCCTAATCAGAGATCACCTTGGTGACACACCGAGTTCCTCTGAAGCTGGGCACCGGTAGGCCCCCAGGGAAATGAAGCATGTGGCTACTTCAGCCAGACAGTCAGTCTCTGTTTGATGACTGTGCAATGACTGAGAAAGCCTTCTGACTTCACTCCTGTGCTCCGGCATTGTCATGGCTTTGGTGCTTGGAGCATCGATTCGGCACTGCCTTGTGAGATCCAGGTGGGCAAATGAATTACCCAGACTCTCTTTCTGCAACAACTGAGCTCCCTTTGATGGGATGCCACGCAAATACCACTTGATAACTCAAACTTTCTCAGGAAGAAGATCCAGCAGATCACAAAACTACTGTCAGAAATCTTTTCTCCTGACAGTACCTTTTAAGTTATTTAAAATCTCTTTTTAAAGGGCATGAGAACATATGTGCCCAAACGACTTATTCATTGAAAAAGTTACCTTTATTGTTTTGGAGAATGTGCTGCAGAAAGTTTTCATAGTACTACCGGGAAGCAGGAGATTTTATGACCATTTGTTCAGAATCCAAAGTTGGGATGTACGTTGTAAAACATTAGGACTGTCTTTCTGGGAACCACAGAACAGATGTTTATAATCAAGAATGTTCCAGAAAATTGGAATAAGTGATTGCCACAGTAATGGCTTAAATAATTAATATTTTAGTAGCTGTTAGTCATATTTTATCTGTGTCAATCTTTTCCCTCACACAGGAAAATAAAAATGAATCAGTAAAAACATTTTTACTTGGATCATCCAAGGAACTCTCTCAGGAGACAGAGGAGAATCCAGACAAAGAACTGATAAAACTGGTTGTCTTAATCTGCCACTTCCCTCATTCTGCCAGAAAGTTAGCAATCCAATGTGAGCATGATCAGCAGTGTGTAAAAAACCTATAATTAAGGACTCGATGTTTTCTCTACTGGCTTTATCTTTTAAATAAGAACACCTCTTCAACTGTAAACAACAGCTCTTGGTGGCTGTTTTTATTTGAATAAAATTGTGTTTAAAATTGTTAAAAATTACAAGGTTTTGTCCACATTAAATCATAATTTGTGTGTGTGTGTGTGTAGCTTTGTTATAAAATATTCCTTCAGAAGATTGGAATCTATTAATCATGTTTGTGGGATGCTAGTAAGTGGCCTTATGCTACCAAAGAAGGATTTGTGTTTCACAGGGGCAGATGGAGAATAATTGAAAGAGAAAACTAAATTTTATTCTCAAGTATAAATTATCATAATACAATATGCCTATCTCTTATATTCTTTCCACCTTCTATTATTTGCTGACGGGGTCAGGCTTGCCTTTCCTTGTTCCCTGTTTTCCAGCAAGGCACTGTTAAATATGGAAGGGAAACCACTGCTTTGACCATAGGAGGATGGCCCTGGCCTTCGCTTCGGTTCAGTGAATTCGGAGAGCTGCGTGTTAAGGGTGATGGGCTGCACTTTGAAGCCCTAATGGGCAAGATTTTCTGCTGCAGAGCAGGAGGCTTCAACTTGGTCGTATGGTAGTACAGTGTGAGAACAAAGGAAAGAGGATCACAGTGAAGATGCCACTGAGAAAGACCATGCAATCACCTGGACAATCAATCCTTTTTAGTTAAATACTTGTGACTGCATTTTGTTTGGACTACAAGCCAAGGGAAGTGATTTTGGAAGACGCTTGGTACAGATTCTCATCAGTTCTATCAAACAGCCTTACACAGCATGAACACACTGTAAGAGTACAGATTACTTTCCAGAATTCCAGAAAACACAACCCAGTAAGAAATCTTAAATCATTCTATTCCACATCCTTCAAAATTGAGAGCAGGCAAACACAAGAGCTGGCCATCATGAGTCCATCTCATTACTTTATTCAAACTATGGCTCATTTGACTCTGTATCTCAGTTTTTATTTTTAATGAGAGAGCTTACATGCTTGCCTTTCTGTTCAGTTTCCTTTTTCTTTTTTAACATTTTTTATTGATTTATAATCATTTTACAATGTTGTGTCAAATTCCAGTGTTCAGCACAATTTTTCAGTCATTCATGGACATATACACACTCATTGTCACATTTTTTTCTCTGTGATTTATCATAACATTTTGTGTATATTTCCCTGTGCTATACAGTGTAATCTTGTTTATCTATTCTACAATTTTGAAATCCCAGTCTATCCC